TCCGATGTCCATGCCAGCTGTATCAAGTGTTTGGGCGAGGGCCACATCCCTCAGAAATGCTTGCACTGCTCAAAGCTGATGGTGCACGTGAGACTGGACGGTGATATGCACTTAAAAATGTTGTTCAGCAAGGCTTTGCAACCTGCTGAGAAAGAATCAAGACACAGGAAGACGGCCAGCAGCCCACAGAATTAGTATGGCTGACAAGCCAGGCACATCCGGCTTGTCTTCCAGCACCCAGGCTCACAGACACAGAATGAGCCATACGGTATCTGAGCCAAGCCCAGCCCAGCCTCACATAGGGAGGCGGCACAGGCAATGCCAATGGCACCAAGAGCCGATGTGGTACCCGCGCCGAGCAAACAAAGGCCAGCGGCACCAGCAAAATTGACACCGAAGGTACACAAGACAGCACTGATTATGGCACCGAGATCACCGTCTTACCCCTGAGTCCTTCAGCATCTTGGGGCTCTACGGCCAGCTCAACGGCACTGAGTCATGAGGCACCGACCCGCACGACACTGAGTCATGCGGTACCCACTCATACAGCGTCGAGCCATGCGGCACTGAGGCCGCCGGTTCCAACCACAGCGGCACAGTCTCCTGCGGTTCCCCCCACACACAAACGCCACACTGACCAGCATGCACGACATCGGAACTGATCTCAAGAGAACAGCCTGTGCCGATACCACACACGGCTCTGTCATCATGACGTTCTCCTCAATGCATGGCTACCCATAAATCTAGGAGGATAATAACACCTTCCCCATGCCCAGAACTGGCGGCATTTTCTCCGTAACTGTCTTTACCACCTTCTCCATGCGCGGTCCCTATGTAATGTGAAGACTGCCCTAGTCCGTACCAGAGGTGCTCACTATGGTGTTCTCCATCCCTGCAGCGCTACCATAGGCATTCACACTTGCCAACTTACCTTAGAGGAAGATCTCGTTCTCCGAGGTCACCTACAAGATCCTCCTACACTAGGTACCACCACATATTGCATACGAGATACTCACCATATTATTCATCTTCTCACCATGGCCACGACAGATATCATAGTCTCCTATAGACAACCACCTAACTTCAAGATGATTCTTACCAACAACCACAGGACATACCACACTAATACCAACCCTGGTACCTTCCCTTGCAACAAACCACGTTGCTAGCTTTGTACACACATTCACTCTGGTGATACCATTATTGGACCCAACCAAGTGAGTTATAAGATCAAGAACACATATTCCTGCGCATCCAAAAATATAATTTATGCAATCATGTGCCAAAAGTGTCCGTCTGCTATGTACATTGGACAAACGTCTCAGACACTTCGCCAAAGGATCAATGCCCACAAAACAGATATTAGACAGGATCACAAAGAAAAAACAGTTTCTTGCCATTTCAACCACAAAGGACATTGTCTCAACGACTTGATTACCTGCATCCTGCTTCAAAGGCCTTTTAAGACTACACTTGAAAGAGAATCCTCTGAACTGTCATTCATGCTTAAATTCTACACTTTACACTCAAATTTGAATAAAGATGCTAATTATCTTACCCATTACAAAGATAGCTTCCCCAATTATCACCTCTAATATCATTAGTTCACAGACATTTTCCTCCCCCCCCCTTCTCCCTCCTCCATCCCCCTTCTGTTCTGAAATTTGATTTGTCCTTTTCATATGTGTTCATTTTTTTAAATTATATCCTTTGGTATATATGGTTGTGCCAATTTTCTTCCATTATTTGATCTGAGGAAGTGGGTCTGGTCCACGAAAGCTCATCACCTATTAAACTATCTTGTTAGTCTTTAAAGTGCTACACAGTCCTGTTTTTTGTTTCACAATCGAATAGAGTGCCCAACCAACACAACAATAAACAGCCAGTTTGATGATATAGTAGTGGGACTACAGACCATCCCCCTAACACATCATTCAAAAACCCAGGAGCTATTTCACCATCGCTTATGGCCCTTCCAACAAAGGTGGTTTGCCATCACCACCAGCCGCGAGGTCCGGGAGCTGATAATATCTGGCTACACTATACCCCTTTTCTCTCTAACACCCATCTCTCCCCCACCCCCATCCCTTTTCATGGACCCATCTCACAAGACTCTCCTGATGTAGGAGGCTCTTCTCAACATTGGGGCAAAAGAGAGAGTGCCAGAACATTTTCACAGAAGAGGGTTTTACTCACTCTATTTCCTCACTGAGAAAAAATCAGAAGGATGGAGATCCATTCTGGATCTCTGACTCCTCAGTCGGTATCTCAGAAGACACAGATTCAAGATGGTGACACTAGCTTCTATTATCCCAGCCCTGAATGTGGGAGATTGGTTTACGTCCCTCGATTTATAAGATGCATATTTTCATGTCACAATATACCCGGCCCACAGACTTTTCCTCATGTTCGCCATAGGCAACCATCATTTTCCATACAAAGTCCTCCCATTTGGCCTTTTGTCCGCCCCCAGAGTTTTCTCCAAAACTCTGCCGGTAGTTTCAGCCTATCTCTATCACCAAGGCATCATGATATTTTCATACCTGGACGATTGCCTAATCAAAGCACCTACATACCAACAGGCACTACAAGCCACCCACATTACAAGAGGCTTATTTGTAGCTCTAGGCCTCATAATCAACATTCAGAAATCCTCGCTCATTCCACAAACGTCCCTCGAGTTCATTGGGGCACAGTTAGACTCTACAGCAGCGAGAGCTTATCTTCCATTGGCCAGATTCAACAAGATTCAGGATCTTGTCCACACCATCTTTATCAGCCCAAGAGTCACCATACTTACCTATAGTCATCGGGCATATGGTGGCAACCACCTACGTGGTACATCACACGAGGCTTTGTCTCAGATGCCTGCCTCAGATAGCTTCAGTCTATCGCCCTGGCAACCAAGATATCCAGACTAGTCACAGTACCCGCTGTGGTGGACGTCCACCGCCAACATGCTTACAGGTCTCCCCTTCCATCTTCTGCAACCGGATATCCAAATTACTATGAACACATCCCTCATGGGATGGGGAGCACACTGCACAGGAGAACACGTACAAGGACAATGGACCGCGGCAGAAGCGCTCCAGCACATCAACCTGTTGGAGCTAAGGGCAGTATTCAATGCCTGCAAAGCATCCTTGCCCAAAATTCAATGCCACATGGTCTAGATTCTTACCGACAACACCACCACGGTATATTATATCAACTGCCAAGGTGGAGCCAGATCGAAGCCCTTTTGTACAGAAGCCATGCACTTATGGAACTGGTGCATTTGCCACGGAATCAGCATCATTGCAACATATTTGCCAGGCAAGGACAATACTGTTGCCGACACGCTCAGCAGACAGTTCTTCCGCCAACACGAGTGGGAACTGAATCGACACGTAGCACACTTTCTGTTCCACCACAGGGGGTATCTTCACATAGACTTATTCGCTACGCACACCAATACGAAATGCCCGAAGTACTGCTCCAGAGTAGGACTCGGACCAAACTCGCTAGGGGACGCTTTCCTACTGCACTGGGGCCAATGGCTCCTCTACACTTTTTCCCCAATTCCACTTCTTCCGAGAGTATTGGAGAAAATAGTCACAGATGGGGCCATGGTCATACTCATAGCTCAATACTGGCCCAGGCAAACATGGCTTCTGCGTCTAATACAAATGTCCCTACAACCACCATATCACTTACCAGAGAGACCAGACCTCCTGACACAATGCGGGCAAACCAAGATACATCCACAGTTCGATCGACTACATCTTACAGCTTGGCTTCTTGCTGGTTCCATCAGACAGAGATTGTCTGCTCTCAGGACGTAAAGCATGTCTTGTTACACAGTAGGCGCGACTCCATGCAAAAGACTTACCTTTATAAGTGGTGGCGATTCCACTCTTGGTGCAATGACAACAGCTGCAACGCTATGACGCTTCTGATCCATCGTATTTTGGACTACGCGCTGCACCTCCAACGTGGTATCTCACCATACCGTCCATAAGGGTCCACCTATCGGTGATTTCCACCTTTAGGCAGCCGATAGAAGGATACTCAGTATTTGCTTATCCCTTGACCAACAGATTTTTGAAAGGACTCACGAATCTTTACCCTGCGTGGAGAAGGCCTCCAATGCTTTGGGATCTTCAGTTGGTATTAGACACGCTCACATGTCCACCATTTGAGCCAATAGCCACCTGTGACTTCCCCATACTTACCATGAAAGTCATCTTCCTTCTAGCCATCACCTCAGTGCGAAGGGTGGGCGCTTCTCGGCTGACCCGCCTTACACTCTGATTACTAATACAGGAGTGATGCTACGGCCACATCCTAATTTCCTCCCAAAAGTGAACTCGGAATTTCATATTAACGAGCCAGTAATACTTTGTACCTTTTATCCCAAACTGCATGCCTCACCTTATGAGGCTCGACTTCATACGCTAAATGTCCGGAGGGCCTTGGCCTTTTACCTAGAGAGAACACGACCCTTCCGGCAATCACAACGCCTTCTACTATGCACAGACAGGTGATCCAAGGGTCGGCCTTTATCATTGCAGCATATTTCCAAACTAATTGTGAAATGCATTGCACACTGTTATTCGCTACTCCATAGAACAGTACCTTCCTCGATACATGCACATTCCACCAGAGCAACAGCTGCAACTTCAGCCTTCCTCTGAGGTGTTGCACTGCAAGATATTCGAAGAGCGGCAACCTGGTCCTCGGACATGACATTTGCAAAATATTATGCAATTGACACCATTGTTCGGGACTCAGTGCTAGCATCGGCAGTGCTCTCCACAGCGCAGGGGTCCTGACTCCTCTGTAGGCCAGATGATAGCTCGGTATTCACCTATGGTGGAGCACCCATGGGGACACTACCCAAAGAAGAAGAGGAAGTTACTCACCTTGTGCAGTAACAACGGTTCTGCAAGGTGTGTGTCCCTGTGGGTGCTCCACGACCTGCCCTCCTCCCTTTTTCTGAGTCTTCTCATTTTTTTCAGAGTGACCCGATTAGGAGGAACTGGCAGGAGTCGGACCACGCGCAGCCTCAGAAACGGTGCAAAGGGCATGCGACACCGCTGCACATGCGTGGTCTGGCTAAACCACGGCTGATGAATCTCCGACCTGCGGTGCCAGGACAAGCTCGACACCTACGGTGGAGCACCCATGGGGATACACACCTCGAAGAACCGTTGTTACTGCACATGGTGAGTAAATTCCTCTTTTATAACTTCGGTGTTTGTAAACACTGTCTGAGTGAGCTCCCCCTGACTTCTAGTGTTGAGCTGGGGGAGAGGACCTCAGGAAAAAACCTTGTTTGCATAGGTGACCCATTGTGCCTAATTGCTCAGGATGATGGGACTGCTTTGCCCAAATGTTCGTTTTTGGCTAATGTTAGATCACAAATCTTTTTGTCATTGGGGAAGGGACACTCAAAGGTTGTTATCTTTGTGTGACTCAATAGCAGCAGAACTATGCTTGACGTGCCCTGATTGAGGAACTCACCCTCAACTAATTGCACTCGTTAGGCTCGGGACCGGAGTTCTGGTGGTGTGGGCTCTGCCTAAGGGACTTAGACACCATTTGAACTTCCTCTCTCCACTTGGTAATACAAGAGGTAATTTAGTCTCAATTGAGAGTCTTGTTCCACCCCACAGAGTTGAAATCCCTGATAACCAGGTCCAAGCATTAGTCTTGCTTCCCCACTAACAGTTGATGTCATTGAGAGCTGAAATCAGAGAGATCTGTGAGGATAAAATGATGAGACCAGAAGATGTCTTCACAGACAGGAGCAGCAGCCTGCGGAGTGGTGAGTGGTAGGGAAGTGGAGGGGCAAGCAAGTGCCTGGACAGTGGAGCAAACACTGGGCCTTCTCACATCCCCTCTCTCCCTGGAGTGGGAGCCAAACTCTGCTGAACTTTGAATCTGCACTAACCAAAGACAACAACTAAAGAGTGAGATGTGGAGAAACAACTTTTGGTTTCTGGATGTAAGAACGCGAGGCAAAAAAATAATGCCCCATGTACTCTGGGTGGGTTTTTTGCTCAAGGTTTTACATTTATTAAACCATGCCGGGTGTAGTGGGGTTGGCCCGCTTGGGGGGTGCCCCTCTGTGGCCGAGGGGTGTCAGGTAAGCTCTTTGCCTGGCCGTCTGGTACTTCCTTGCTCCCTAGGTCACTTCCCCAGATGCTGCCCAGTCTGGCTGTCTGAAGGTTCTGGGGCTAGGATTTCACTGCCCCTCTCTTCTGCTCCTCTCGCTGGGTTGGGGTGTGGCAAGCTAGGATTTCACTGCCCTGTCTGCGGTGCTGTCAGTTCTTGTATTAAGCTTCAGAGGGGTAGCCTCCTGTACGGGGTGTCGGGGCTTAGTCCACCCCATCACTTTGGGTTACTTCCCTCCTTTTATTGGGAGTGTCTTTTCTACATTCATATGTTGTGCTTGTGAGAAGAGGGGAAGCCAGCGAGTGGTATGTAATTGTCTCAGTTTATTGAGTGGAGGCTCAGAATGGTTTTGTCTTGTAGTGTAGAAAAGGAACTGCTAGATCTTTCATGCAGCCCTTTATGCTGCCAACACAAGCTGGCAGAAGGGTTACATGTGTACAGAGTGAATTACCTGTGATGGACTACACATAGTATTCACTTGGATCAAAGGAAAATTAATTGGGTTTTTTTTGTTAAATCCTATTGGTATCCAATTTTGTCTGAAGATGATGTTATACATAATTTTTAGAAAATTATATGTAAATATACTCATTAGTTCATAGTAAAATTGAACTCCTATTTTGGCCCTGGGACAATTTGTGTTGTCGGAGCACAAAAGACTATTACTGTTTATTAAAAACAGTAATTGGTTTTCCAGTTTTTAAAAAGATTATGTTAGTTCCTAGTCTGTCTTTCCATCTTATACTTGGAGAACACACAGCAAATTAAACATGTTTTTCTTCTCTAAAATTTTGTAAATAGGTTTTTAAACAGACCTTAAAAATTATCCTCACCTTTGAATGGGTGGACAATAAAAAGTGGTGGATCTAGTCTGCCAGGGTTAGTGCCTGGTGGGCCACCGCCACTATGTTTAAGTGTGTCTCCAAAGGTATCAGATGATCGCAGCTCTCATTGGCCTGTGGATTGCTGTGTGCAGCCAATGGGAACAGCAGGAAATGGCATGCGCTGGGACACCACTTCCCACCTCTCTCATTGGCCACAAACAACGATCAGTGGCAACTAGAGCTGTGATCGTCCGATACCCACAGAGATATAGGCAAACATAGAGGAAGGAGTTCACCAGTGTGAGGGGGTTCACTCACCTCCGTAACCCCCCTGCCGTCTGTCCTCAGGAATTGGCTCCCTCAGCAGGTAGGGTGCCTTCTCTGGGGTGGTGTCTCCCCTCTTTACTCCCGGCTGCGGCGTCCTCTTCGCCACACTGCCCTCCGGCAGTGCCCAAGTCTGTCTCTGAGCCCCCCTTCCGGGGGTTGATGTTCCTCCATCGGGCCTTCTTTCAAGCCCTGCAGTCTGAGGATTTGCTGGCCAGAGCTCCCCTAGCCCTGCCTGGCCTGGCCTCCCCAGCCCTGCCCTAGCTCCAGGGAGCCTCCTCCTCCCTCAGCAGCCAGGTCCTCACTGCTTCCCCTTCACAGCAGCAGCCCATCCTCTATTATAGCGCCCAGCTGGGCCCTAATGGACTAGTACAGCCTCAGCTGGGCTAATCTCCCCGGCCCTGGTTCCGGCCGGGGTCTGCCCTTAAAGGGCCAGTGCAGGGCCAGTGCCCTGTCACAACCAGGGACTAACCCTGGAAGACTAAGTCTGGCCTGTGGGCTGGTATTTGCCCACCCTGGGATAGAGGCTAATTAATTTTGGTACGTACAAGTGGTTAGGAATGAAAAAAGGGCCAATCCTGAAAATATTTCTGCACTTTTACAGAGTTGGGAATAATTCATGTGTGGCTGTACTCACTAGTTACTTTAACATTTATTAACAATAAATCTCATGGACTTTTTTACTATTTTCATTTTAGAATATCTTTATTTGTTGATATAAAATCTCAGTATGGCTAGAAATCTGTGCACTTGGCACATAACATAAAAAGACATAATTCACCTCAAATAATTATTTTAATGCTATGCATGACATATTTATTAATAATATAATTTAGTGTGAACTTGTTTTGAGTAGGCACATTTGTAATTATTGTGTCTCTTTTCTGGTATTTTGGTCTATATGGCTTTTAAAAAGAGATTATAAAATGTATGCAAAACAAGTTGCTAATGACACAAATGGCAGTGCTGCGTGGAGCCTGGGGCTAGACAACAGGTATAAGGGGAAAGGATCGCCAAGGTTTTTCTTTAATAAAAAAAACACCCAAAACTCACCAGGATTAGCTCCAGAAGAGGGCTCATGACTGTGAATCCCAAGTGAAGATGCATCTGACGAAGTGGGTCTTTGCCCACGAAAGCTTATGCTCCTACACTTCAGTTAGTCTATAAGGTGCCACAGGACTCCTCGTCGCTTTTGCAGATTCAGACTAACACGGCTACCCCTCTGATACTTGACACAAATGGACCAATCACTGTAGAAACTTTTTAAGTACCTCTGAGTGTGCACGTTGCAGGTCTTTCAGATCTCTCCATGCAGTATTTCTTAGGTACCAAAGAGGTGGGCGAGAGAGTGAATTAATTAAGTTCAGGTCTTTTGCAAATCACTGAAAGTAAACATTTCCATCTTTCCATGCATGTTTTAGTTCTCTACTAGTGTTTCCTTTTCTGTTGTTTTTTTTTTACATAATTTTTCAACTCATCTTTATAAACCTATTTAAAATCTGCACATGATGGAGTACTAAATTAGAGGCACCAGGTGCACTCTGAGATAAATACATGTATATTCTCAGAATTAGAGAGGAATTGGAACCAAAAGCTAGGCTGCAGCTTCCCCAAAACTTAGAGTGCGGGTGCCAGACCCAAACTGGGTCGGTATTTCGGAGCTGGCCATTTTCTGTAACTGATTCTCCTCTGCTTTTTTCTCAATAAGGGCTTGTTTATATGGATTGTCACCCTACATTGGAACATACTGAGTGTTATTCTTACCTACTTGCCTCTAGCTTCCATCCAGGACACATCACATAATCCATTATTTATAGCCAAGCCCTAAGATACAATCGGGTTTGCTCCAGTCCCACAGACCAAGACAAACACCTAAAAGATCTTCATCAGGCATTCTTAAAACTTAAATATCCACCTAGGGAAGTGAATAAACAGTTTGACGCAGCACGACAAGTACCCAGGAATCTGCTTCTTCAATGCAGGCCCAACAAGGAAAATAACAGAACACTACTAGTCATCACCTACAGCCCCCAGCTCAAATCCCTCCAGCACATCATTGACAATATACATCCTGTCCTGGAAAATGATCCCTCCATTCTCACAGGCCTTGGGAGACAGGCCAATCCCCTCCTACAGACAGCCCTCTAACCTGAAGCAAATCCTTTTCAGCAGCCACACAGTCATCCAGAAGCCTACCGCTGTCACATTAGAGGATGTGCCATCCTCTCTGATGAGTCTCTGATGTGGTTAGGTCCTACGATGGTGTAGCTAATACAGATGTGTAGATGGAGTTGGCAATGGGGTTTTTTGCAGGAGTATCAGAGGGGTAGCCGTGTTAGTCTGAATCTGCAAAAGTGGCGAGGAGTCCTGTGGCGCCTTATAGACTAACTGAAGTGTAGGAGCATAAGCTTTCGCGGGCAAAGACCCACTTCATCAGATACATGTGACGAAGTGGGTCTTTGCCCGCGAAAGCTTATGCTCCTACACTTCAGTTAGTCTATAAGGCGCCACAGGACTCCTCGCCACTTTTGCAGATTCAGACTAACACGGCTACCCCTCTGATACTCCTGCAAAAAACCCCATTGCCAACTCCATCTACACATCTGTATTAGCTACACCATCGTAGGACCTAACCACATCAGAGACTCATCAGAGAGGATGGCACATCCTCTAATGTGATATATTCCACCTAGTGCCAGCAATGCCTTGTATTTTGGTCAAACTGGACAATCTCTATGATAAAGGATTAATGGACACTAGGGATCACCAAGTGAAATTAAGAGGTAGCAGGTTTAAAACAAACAAAAGGAAGTTTTTCTTCTTCGAGTGATGTCCCCGTGGGTGCTCCACTGTAGGTGTCGGGCTCGTTCTGTCACCACAGATCGGAGTCTTCAATAGCA